GGGGAGGAGGAGTGAGGGGGAAGGGGAGGAGGAGTGAGGGGGAATGCATTCACTTCTACTAACGATGCGTTCACTTGTTTACAGCAAGCAGCGGCACAACAGCATATTTCGCTCAAAGTCCGAAATGGACCTCAGTTTGACTCCATCCGAGGCGAAGCGGAAACGCTCCGAGTCGACCAATCAGGAGTCGTCGCTCGGTTCGCTGACCGTGCAGTCGACGGATGACCTGGCGCTGACCCGACCCAAGTCCTGGTCACCGAACGAATCGATGACATCATATCTTGAGGATCAGTTGTCTAAAGGTGCGTGTGGCATGTCGTTAGATGCTTGTGAGTAGGAGACATGTTAATGTTTCATTTAATGTTTTACTTAAAAACTCTTCGCTAATGTTTATCATAACGATCGATATGCTAATTGAATCTACGTCAGGGTAGGGGCAGTGTATCCATCGAGAGCCAGTCCATGATTCCTTTTCATTGCAGAGTTCCTCAACTCTCAGAGCAACAATAACGAGTGGGGTCCGCGCACGCTTATGGTGCAGCGTCGCGTCTCGGGCCTGCGAGACACGGCTGACCCCGGCGAGTCGACCGAGTCCATGTTTGGAAACAATGACGGAGACGGGTGGATCGGCGAGCGACCGTTTGTCGCGGGCGGCACAACCACCGTGGATAGCGACGTCTGCTTCAAGGTAAGGTCAAGGTCATGATTCAGACGTAACTTACATAGTATTAGCAGTACTTGCTGAGTATTACATAGTAATTACATAGTATACGGTATCTAAAGGTATAATGTAAATAATACAGTATACAAGGTAGCATAAGTATAACAGCTCTTAAGCTTTCTTCAAGGTAACGTACGCTCGTGATTCAGTCGTAACCCATATGCTATCTAACGCTACTGTGTCTCTCACATTATGCCATATCTATATACACACACATATATATATATATATATCTCATCACTCATGCTCATTGCTTAGGTGTCTAACGTGTATATATATCTCCTATACTATACATATATATATATATATATCTCATC